TTAGATCAACAATATGTCAGAATACAATTTTAGCAGAATTAAAAATGAATTCTTTACATTATTTCAGATTCGCACTTAAGATACAATTAAAGATGACTATTAAATTTCAAATCAAACAAACATAATTGTAAGACATAAGGCAACGGGCATTATACGCAACTTAAAATACTAATTTAGTGAGATGCAAACAAATACTAGTATTATCAGTATTTAGACTTCAAAAAGGAATTCTTTTTGGACAAATTGAGACAGAAAAGAAATGAAAATGCATATGCAACCGACCTCGATAATATTTATACAATCGTATGAAGTATAATATAGATGAAAGCAAAACAGAGCTACCAAATCTAAAGTATCGCAAGTTTAAACATCTAGATATCAAAGTTCAAGTTATAAGTTTGTATGTTTTTTTTTAAATATAAATTGACTTTATGCAGTGAAGATATCAGATAATAAAAAATACATCATTTTACTTTTTGAACATTTCCTGTAAAGCTACCTTGACTAAAATAAAGACAAGCATATACATCGAACCTCTAAAATCAGAGCTGCTTTCCAAGCTATTTATTGACATGATTACAATGATATACTAAATTGCGTTTTATACAATGCAAACAAATGAAATAGGCACACGTGATTATGAAAGGAAGTTGGATATGCATATTACAAGTGCAATGTATTTTTAGAAAATAGATCAGAGAATAGTACGACGTGGAGAAAAATGTATGTTGCCACAAAATATGATATATTATAAATAGTAAAAAAAGACTCACCTATTAAATAAACAATTATTATCTAGTGGTTTGATATTATCTCATTTCCATACGAAACTTAAAAAGAAAACAAAAAACAATAACAAGATTTTCACTGTAGAAACGGAAGTCCGTAACCTGACATTAAATCTATATCAATCTATTGCCCAAATATTTTGAAAGATGTGCCAAATAAATATTGTTCTTGTTATTTTGCCTTGTCTACTCACGGTCGGATGAGCGCAGTGTAAAATGAGACGGCTTCATTGATTGGTTGGCAGCTGCCCATTATCTACCCACAAGGACATACAATGGACCTAACTGATACCTGAACCAAAAACATTTAATATGCCGCATAGCTGAATGTTACCTGAGCTTGTATACAATGGGGGATTTCGGATTAAATTGAATGAAATAAAATAGTATCACGATATGAATCTAGTCCTGGATCAACGAATGCTTTCATGGTATTTGATTTTATTATTGTGTTTATCCTGGCCCGATTAAAAGAATAAGTAAATAAGTAGGTTTGTCTATTTTCCACATTTATCAATTTGTATACAAAAAAAGAATAAATTTAAATAAGATGTTTGAAACAATCATACATGTATTTCTTGATTACGCCCGTACATTGTGCCTCATTTACGTCAATAATAGGTATGAATAAAATGTCATTAAAACAATTGAAGGTTAAATCCCCGTTTGTTTAAGTTCAAAAAGATAAAACTTAATTGGCCTTATCTTGTATCAAATTGTAGATGTAATGATTGGCCGATTGATTGAATTGCAACTACACATCACTTGTAAAGAAAGGGTGATCAAGCAAAACTGCTGTACAATGATCGATTAAGTCTGGAATGTGAAATATCTTTTAAAAGATAAAACAAGCGCATCTGTCTCGTACTTACATGGCTATTTTAAATAAACTTAAAACACTGCAGGTTTTTTGTAAAACATGGTTTTGTCTAGCCTAAGTTCAGATAACAATATATCATTGTGAAATGGTTAATGCGTTTTTAGTAATAATTATTATATAACACAGGTTTTGAACATGTTTGAAATACACTGAAATATTTTATTGTAAAATAATTGTCTCCTTTAATAAAATGTCATGAACTTGGAGTTGTTGTCGATTTGTCAATGAACGATAAATCTGAAATTGAATATGGTCAAGAACGGTATATTTAAGAACATAAATATGTTTAGTTTGCACGAGGAGTTAGATGTATAACTTAAAATACGTTTCTGTATAGTCAAATGATTAAAACATTATGTTGTACATCATTTTAGAATTGAAAAGTCAAACCAGGTAAATGGCATTTTTTCCCAGTCACCACTTTTAATATACCAGATGGTGATTTTCAGCAAAAAAAATGCAACATTTATTTATTTGATCTACTATAAAAAAATTGTCTATTAAAAGTATAATTATTTCACTTTTGAAATTACAAATTGACAATATCGGGTTTTTACAACAGATAGATCCTTGGTGCCACTATTTTCAGAGTAGAGCGTCCAAAATAATGCTCACTTCTGTATTTTGCGAACAGATAGATTCTGCAATGTCAAACTGCCTATCAAAGTAGAACATTATAGAAACCCATAAATACATCGTTGATGTGAGCTTTTATATTGTATTGATCATGTGACATCCAAGTTAATGATTGATATATAAGGTTATAGACCGGCAACTTCCAGAGCGGAAATGAGTAACCGAAATAAACATCAATATAATATGTTAGCACTGAAAATGGTTTTGTTGTATATGTTTTAATTACAATTTTCTATAGTATGTATCATTTTCTAAACTTAAACAGGACATGTGTTCATTTGATATAAACATGCAATTTTAAAGTCCTTCAAAGTCACTTATATAATTTTATAGCCAGAATGATAATTCTTTAATAAGATATTTGATAAAAGTACATCTAATCAAAACTATTGCTAAATATGTCTTTTATTTATGAAATACTAATTACTATTTATATTTATTATATTTAAATCAACAAGAGTTATGTTTCACCTTAAATATGCTGACACACCATTTTGCCATCTGTCTAGTACATGTATAATGAGTAATTATTTATTTAATATGGTCTTCCAGAAGCAAATTAGATCCAGTGTCATATAATCTAATGCTTGTGTAAAAAGGACATTTAAAAAAGAAATCATAGATATAGCACATAGCAACACATTTTCACATATAATTCAATTATTAACTTTTTTTTAAATTTTATGTCAACTGCATTACATATACAACGGTTATATATTAAAGGACAATTAAAAAGTCTTTCCCATCCTGCAATAAATTTATCTGTATATCTAAAGTTTGTAAACACTATTTCAAAACAGGATAACAATTCGTTCAATAAGGTCAACAACTAAATGGCAAAGCAGATCTTCAGCTATATTCAAATCGCATTTAAATGAAACTCGCATATGACTGAGAGAAAAGAAATAGTGAACATTGCAAAACACATGTATGGATTTGAAAAGAAGATAACTGCATATACCTTTAATCAAAAACACGCATTTTCATGAATTTAAATGGATAGTTATTATGCTTAAGTTTCATTAAATAAAAAAAGTGTTAGCTATTAAAGCGCATGCTCAGATGACAAATTAGTCTAAAGAAATTAACTTAAGAAAAAAAGTATCAATATTTAAATAATTATTAACATCTTATGTGCGATTAATGATTGATTTTGCAGTATCAATCACTATAATTCTACTGTGTTACTAACACATTTAGAGGTATTTATGCATATTTTGACCACTTTTTGGTAATTTACATGGGTTGTAAGTGCCGTTTGCAATGTTTAAATTACTTTCTTTGTTCACTTCACAATATTTTTGGTTTTAATACATTTTCAAAATTTTCATGAAAATTAGCATGAATCTGGAGGCTTGCTGCATTAAAATTAGAAAAAAAATATGTGTTAGCTTTTAAAGGCATTGCTAATACTTAGTTGAAAGAGAATTGTACTATAAAAATGCAAATATCTAAGAAGTCTAAAATAAAGTAAAAAAAAATGAATGACTGTATACTAAAAAAACACGAAATATTATGTGTTGGGTACCGTGTGTGTCTGGTAATTAACATAGAAGGACATCAAGACTAAAAAAATATCAAAAAAATGTTTGGATTAGAGTACAACATTTAATGTGTGTCTCTTATATCAAGTGTCTCTTATATCTCCGGCCTATTTAGCCCCTTTCTGTATCATAATATGACAACATCTTTATCACAACTAAACAACCTAAACTATAGTAAGGGACAGGCACGATATGTCACGGAGCCACGGGGTGCCGCCGACGGTATTGTGTACAAGAAACCAAGGTGTATCACTTTACAAACAACGTATAGGATGACTTAAAACGATGGGGTATTGGGCTGTCACATTAAGTTTATATTTTATATCAATAACAGCCCTAAATTAATTCTTTTATAAAGGAAAAGGGTACGCAATATGTCAAACCGGTGACAAAAATGAACAATAAGAGGTTCTTTGACATCAATTTGTATAATTTTGAATTTCTGTTACGCATTATGAAAAATATGTTTAGAAAAGAAGATGACATGCAAGAAAATTTGTAAGACCTTCTTCTAGTGAAATATGAACTATATTGAATTATTATGATTTTTAAAATGTTGAGACAGGCCTATTACTTCTCACAAATTAAGTTATACAACTGCGTCCCATTATTTAATAAGAAAAAGCTGACCAAGTAAAACTGCAAGGTGCAGATGTTTGAATGAGGAAAAAAAGGTTTAAACCGGTTGACACGCTCGGAATATGAACTGTTTGGGATGTCAATGACAAAAAGTTAACAATTTATTCAGATCACTGTTTGCATACTTCGCTAATCTATTTAGATGTTTAAATATCAATGACTGTTTGAAAAGAAGTGGGAATAAAATACAACACGCATTTTTATAAATATATAAATCATACAAACACTAAAATTCGAGGTTAAGCATTTCTTACTTTATTTTCCATATTTTCCAAAAAGTCATATATAGACTTTAAAATAATAAGAAAAGAAAAAAAACAACTGCGGGGTAATAAAAATATTAAATACATAATGCATTATTACACAACAAAAAGAAATTTGAATCAATATAAAAATAAAACAACTGTCACATTGATAGAATTTAAAATAAAATCAAATTTTTGGATATGTCTTGTCCACATTAATGACAATCTATGAAAAGTAGGCACCGTTAGCTCATTCTTTTTTTCTTACCTTTCTTTATACCCCTTAACTATCCTTTCTATATTGATACCTCCTGAATATATGCGACGCTTCTCAGTTACTTTTAGCTATAACAAAATAAAAACAATTTTCCCCCAAAATGTTACAAAATATAAATAAACTAGAGATGCACGATCCTGAAATTCATTTGAATAAATTCTTCTTAACCAACGCCTAATATCAAAATACCTTTTTCGTCGCCATTGCTTTATAAAAAATATAAAACGAGTCTTTAAACATGGGTGACTCACATATTTGTCATTAATTGCCTATTTTATACAAACAGAATTAAGAAATATATGCAAAATATCCAGTTAAAATCCTTTGGCTTACAAGTATTTATAAAGCGTTTAGATGTGAATAAAGGTTTGTTCAATACACGAAGGTTAGATAGGTTATCAGAAGGAAGAAATTTATATTGTTTCTATTTGTTTTGCGATAATTTGTTATTCTACTGTAAATAAATTAAGCGACGATCGCAGTATGTTGGTATTTAAGTCTCAGATCCGGTGGTGACTCCCCAAAAAACATTTCTGCGTTACCACAGTACCCTATTGTCATACATTCTTTACATAATCCAATTGCTTTTATTTATTTCCAAAGGTCTAGCAAGGTTTCGATCTGGTTTTAAAAAGAACACATGGGCTCTCTGACAATGTTTGTGTTTACACGGAAAATGTTAAACTATCGAACATTTGTAATGATTACTTTGTCATAGATAAACTGTCTGGGTCCAAATAAAGAGATATAAAAAATCTCTGATGATTATTTGAATGTGTTATTAATTGTTGTTAAATTCCTTTGACTCTTGTAAGAGAATAATATGTTTTTGCCTGTGTCAAGAGAAGGCTTTACATACCAAACAGCTGCACTCATGTAGATTCAAAGAATCGTTGCGTTACCATAACAACAGAAGAAGTAATAGTGTGAAACATACAAAAAGGTGTTCTTGTAAAAATGAATATGGCTAAAGTCCAAATGCCTTATTTGTAAAAAGCCGTAAATTCAAGAGACTTTTTCAAATAATTCTGTGTATTAAAGATCTTTACCGTATGGTCAAATGTGCCCTAAGACCTTATTTTTACGTGTAACATAAAGTATTCTTTTATTTCCATAACACTTTAATCGGAAGAAATAATGCGCCCAAAGCAAGATTTTAGAAATATCTGTAAACATATTGCATTTTTTTAATGCAGGTGTTACAAGTGTATATTACATTGCAGGGGTTTGTTGAAATCAGCATGGACAACATCACATCAAAGAATGAAATATAAGCCTTGTAAAATAGCAAGTCATGTCGGTGTTATGTTATTGACTTACACAAATGTTGTAAGTCATACAATGTAATATAATTAAGAAGAAAAACTGTCACGTGACCACATTTTCTGATATGTAACAAAAACACGAATGAAGAAATTATTTTTACTTATTTGTGCTTAAGGAAATAAAATGTAATGGCTTAATAGTGTTAGGGATAACCTGTTTATAAAGTTTTTTGTTCAGAATGCATAAAAACAGTCCAAAGAATTTATGTTTTTAATTTCAGTATTTCAAATATGCAGAATCCTTATCGTCCAAGTTAAATCGTTTCCAAATAGAATGATAAGTAGTTAATGAGACGAACAGACTAAAGATTATCAAGCAAACATGAAAAGTAAATAGTTCTTACCAGATCAAGTAGCCAAAAAACTGATACATCTCATAAAATATGTACTCAACTACAGCTCATGCTACACGGCGATATACTAGTTCGTCAGGGGAGTACAACGTACCTGCCACATCAGTAAATTCAAATGTTCCCATAGCCCAGCGTTTATACCAAACAAGGTGTTGGCAATATATAATTTCACTTAAAACTTCATGACATTGTAAAATATTTCATTGGTCGCAAAATTACAGTAATTTAATATACCTTGTGTACACCTGCGGTGCGCATAAAACGTAATAGATTACGTTTAGGTGTTTTTGTTGGTTTTGATTAAATTAAAAAAGAAATGGAATTTTCACAAGTTTTTTTCTATCGTAGCATGCACGTGTTTCTTGCCCTTTATGACAGCTAGAGAAAACGGTAGCATCCAGAATAGAACCAATAAAGTATAATAAAAATGAATAATGATTGAATAATGTAACATGCATGTCCGTACAATAAAGTAATGGATTATCTTTCACGTATTGGGCTTTGTATGTAAATGAGTGTACGTTATGCAGATACGAATGTATTCAAAGCTTGGGAAATCAAGTTTACAGAATCATAAAAATAGATGCAACATAGCGGATGAATATCACTATAACCACCCACAACTAAGAACTTACGGATGGATGTTCTTACTTAATTTTATTATTTTTTCATACTTACCACAGCGTGTTGACACAGCAAGCAAATGAACAACATTCCATTATTAAAGTAATTGTTCTTTAATTTTAACTTTCTTTTTTCCCGCCTTTCATCCTTATGTACTTTATTTTAGGCTTACTTAGGGCAAATAATAATAATTCTCATACTATATTTTTTAAAAATAAAGATTAAGGACGCAAAGTCAGCAGCAATTAAACAACAGTGAAAAACTCTAATTGAATAATAAAAAGATCTCTTTTTTTTCTTCAAATTTGTCTGTCGTACGACCAATAAATATATTTATGAAATACAGATTATTATTTCATATTAAGTCATTACATTAAATATGATATGCATTCCGTGTACCTACTTGTCGCAAGTCTATTTTCCTACGTATAAGATAATAAAACAGCTTTCTCATTCATAAACAACCCTTCTCAAATGATGTAGACCATGTTTCGAATTATTCTCACAGGGCACAAATCTTCCCTCCTTGTTAATCTTCAAATAATCTTTTTTCACAAAACTCGAGTATCTCTATCTGTCAACGTTAAACAACGTTTCAACATGAGGTGCGCCCTGCTATATACCCCAAAACACAGATAAAGAGCGAAAGACTTTTAGTATCATTAATTTATTTATAAAACATACACAGTATATCAATTTGTATAGATAAAGTTAAAATCTTAATATTGGTGTAGAAAGCATTGGATCTTCTCGCTATTAGTCTGCAATACAGTGTACAAGAAAGTTACAAAAAGTTTAGAAGCATAATTAGGAGAAATATTTATCAATGATCTGGTGTTTTTTGTTTAATCTATCGTCGAACCGACAAAGTTTAGGTCAAATGGCGTAAAACAGGAAATATGACTTTGGCTAACCTCAGTTGTTACAAACTTTAAGCAACACAAGGGGTCAAAACACCTCACATTTTTTTTTGTATTTTAACATTAATCCTCTGAAACTTTTAATGGGCTGTCCAAAATTCCAAGCTGGTCAAATCCGTTACAGAAACGCAGATGGTTAAGAGACAAATACTGTTAATACACAACAAAGCATAGCTGAAGTCGGAACACCTACAACAAAGATGCCTGCGCCTAAATGCACACAAAAATCTCACAAATGGAAACAATATATGCCCTGCAATTTTTTAAACAAAAATGTGCAGGGGGACCTCATGTGTCTTTTTAACGTATTATAAGTTGTTGACCTAGAACTTGCACAATATGGTATTATGTAATGACAGATATTTGACATTAATAACACACTTAGACGTCTCATCTAAACCATGAACTTCTCTGTTCGGTATGTTAAGTAGTTATTCTAATGTACGGAGCTTTACTGTGTCATTTTGTGCTCATTCAACTTATTTGTATATAGTTTTGTATTGCATGTTAAAATTCTTTATTTGCAAATCAATGAAACTAGAAGGCGTCGTGCAATTAGTATTATTCTGGCAATCCTTATGAAAGAAGCTGAATGATAGTACGAAATGTATCTATTTAATCACGATGTAGAAATTAAGACGACTGTATTCCATTTTGCTATAATAAAACATAAGTTTTATACGTTCACGTGACAGCTGCATTATATATTGTATATGTGTTTCTACTGTATTGCATTGTATGTCAATGGTATATGGTAACAGAAGTCATGAGCAGTCCATGATATTTCCTGAAAAAAATGTTAGTAGATTAGCGTACTTTTTTGATGCAAAGATACTTGCATGACAACAAGAGCGCTGTTGGTTCGAAACTTTTATTGACAGCCTAGAAACTATACTTTTATTCACGTAATGTTAACTCTAACCACGCTAAAATTCATTAAAAAATTTAAATATGTAATGACTGAATATCAAACAGTACACATGAGGATATGCCTGCTGATCTTGTTCTGCACAAGTTGCATGGGTAAATTTGTTGTCGGAAGCAGACTACAGGTTAAAGAACAAGTCCCTATTGATATTTTTTGACCTTGTATATTGAAAGCATCTAGATCTATATAATAGGTGTATGAACAAACATGTTTATAGTGATTGATTTCAATACATTTACAATATGCTTGGCCTACCGCAGTATACTAATAAAGCTTCACCATATGCCTCCAACGACTTGTGTCAAATTCTCATAAAAGCCCATGAAATCGCTAAACTTACCCCGGCCCTTCTCACAGCTTTCGCCATTGTGTTATATTTATTCAATAAATTGAGAATAAACTAACCTTTTCCACTTTGTATAGGTTTCTTTTCTTATGGTTATTAATTGGTGATAATAATGCTAGTTTCGCGATAATAAATCTTAAAGTTTATGCACGGGAACGAACGGTTACCCAGCAACCGATATATCTTTGTAGAGAATGTGTACTTTATGCAAATTTGAGAGTTGTAAAAATTAGATGAATAATAAAATAAGTCTATCGAAAACACTTAGTCGATGAATACAGAGGGCAGTGTTTGAATGGAAGACTGATTGACATGTGTTTGACATTTAACATGATAAAAGGTTTACTTCTGTTTTGCCACTGACCGAAATAAATCATAATTTTGAACAAGATAACGAATTCACAATTTAATACAAATATATTCAATAACATAAGCTGATTGTTATAAATAGTATACTTACTGTGACAAAAACATTCCTTAATGTAAACAATATAACCATTTTATTTTAGAAACTAAAAAGTACACTTTTCTCATACATGTATATTTAGAATGCTTTTATTCCTTCATCAATTATGTGGTCGTCCAATAACAGAGCCTGTCATATTGGCATCACTTCAAATGGTAACACTTTGTAACTTTATGCAC